TGCAGCCGGTCAGATGGATGTTTTCGTCTCCGTGAGATCTGAGCACACTGCAGTAATGCTAAACCTCTTCTCTGTTTTAACCCTTTAGATTCATAACTGGTTTGGGTAAAATGTGGAAATTAGCAAACAATAGGTGTTTATCTTTAAGTAAATATGCCTCTGCTGAAAAGAAACTTGAGAAACTGCTTTAAACACTTGAACAAGAACTTATTTTCTCTCATGTGTGAAACAACATAAGAACACAGAGGCAAATAACACCTGAATCCAATTGATCTATTAAGCTGGCTGAATCATGGGCAAACTTGTGGAAATTAGACATGTGATTCAAATGGTCCTGCTGCATTGTCCTTCAGGAATAATTCACTCACGTGGTTCCAACCAGCGCCGTGACAAAGACACACTGGGGCTGACTCACGTGCTCGAAAATAAAAATAACTAAGCTAGAGCTGGAGCATCTGGTTTTGTTTTAATACAGAGATCACTCTGATCATTACATAAATAATAATAATAAATACATAAATAATAATCTCGACTTTACCTGATGGCTTATGACAGTGATTTGAACCCACAGCCCCATTTAGGTAAAAAAAAATAAATAAATAAATAAATAAATAAAAATATCAGCTATTAAACAAAAACGAGTAAGGCAGGCTTCGTCTTCCTGACGGGTGTAAGCTTGCTGGTGGAACAATAAAGCAGATACACACCGTTTCATTTGGACTGGTGCTCGGCGATCAGACCATGTAGTAGCTTTTATATTCTGTTACCATTTAGTGCCATTCACCATTGCTGCAGACCTACTATACCCTCCCGTGAAGACCATGGAGGTGCTCTACAATAGGCTGACCCAGTTCAGGCTGTGGGTGCCACAACAGCACCAATAACAACCCACACATTAACAGGCTTGATTAGTTAATGCCAGAGATGAAGATCCTCAGTAGAAATTCTCTCCGGGGCAGGCATCGATCTGAGCAGATAGGGGATCGTTAGAGAGCTACGTTGATGTTAAATTAGCTGGGACAAATCAGGAGAACTCTTAAATATGGCTGCCATGTGTTTTTAACTCAGGGGGAGAGAGGCGAAGCCACTAATTTGACCCATTTCCTGTTTTCAGTCAGATAATATGACACATTGTCATGGTGAAACGAAGGTAATACGCTGTTGGTCTGAAGGGTGTGTGTGTGTGTGTGTGTGTGTGTGTGTGTGTGTGTGTGTGTGTGTGTGTGTGTGTGTGTGTGTGTGTGTGTGTGTGTGTGTGTGTGTGTGTGTGTGTGTGTGTGTGTGTGTAGCTCCTGACAAACAGTCAGGATGTGAATTACCATTTTCCAGCTGCTTGTCTCTGCTCAGCAGCCAAGTTACAGTTTGTTGCCCTCCTGCTCTGGCCTCAAATAAAAGCCAAAAAAGGTTTTTGCACAATAATATGATGTCACAGTGCAGCTGGCCTTTGACTAACATCAGAAATTTACCGTGAACAACCTGACCTCTGACTGGCAGCTCCTAATCACTTCATCTTCATCTTGTATTTGTTAGAAATAGTAAAGAAACACTAAATTGCTTTAAAGACGTAAAGCTTTTGCTTTCAAACTGGTTTCGGTGGTTCTTGAGCCATAAACTTGAGAAACTTTACATTGGGCAGCCTTCTGTTCACCAAAAACTGCATGCAACAATTTTGTGGTTCATTCTTTAGGACAACAGCTGTTTAATGTTCCAGTAGCTAATACAAAAGGCTAGCATTTAGCTGCCTCCACCTATAAAGGACAGGTTATTCAGAGTTATCTCTGTAGTTATGCTGCTATAGGCTTAGACTGCTGGAGGACATACTGACCACTTTACACACTCTACTACTTCTTCTACCACTTCTCTCTAACTGCATTATTTCCTGCTATTTCAGCTGGTAACTTTATATTCTCTCTAAAGCCATTTTTAAAAAAACAATGCTGTCAATTTGCTGCAACGCCATGGCGGCATCAAGGAGCCTTAGGTTGTTTATAAGTTGTCAGGCCGTGGTGGTAATGTGGCGCAATTGTGCCCATTTTACAAAAGATTAGGCATTGTCGGCATAAAGGAGATATGTGGTGGTCCCTGCACTGCCGTGGACTTCCATTTATCTTGGACATAACTTGTTTTTTTTATTGCGATCGAAGCCGAGCTCATTACTTTTTTTTAACAAGCCGCTCCTAACGGTGTCTGTTCCCCACAGTCCCTGTGCAGTCTCTGGTGATCTGACCTCCAGCTTTAATGGAGAGACGGTCCCGGAGCCTATGCAATTTTCCAGTTTGACATCTCAGCTGATTTTGATCAGAAAGCAAAACTTACGGACCGTTTTTACTTTCATTTTCAATATAGTTGCAGGCCGGAGCTCGGCATTAACTCCCAACGTGATTATGTCACCTCCCTCTGTTGCGCCAAGGCAAAACAGCCGTTTATAAGACAGAAAATTACTGCAAGATTACTACCAAGCAAGGCGGAACGAATGCCGCAAAATTTGCGTATCACCATGGTATGTTTATAAGACACACCTTTGCGGAAATACTACGCTGATTAGCCGGTACGGTAGGTCTTGTAAAAAGGGCTAAAGTGCATTTCTCCCCAGAAGAAGCTACAATGATGTTCTGCTGAGCTGTGGTGGCCACAAGGAGGGGGCCATCGGCTTGAACACATCTGCTAACCACTTAAGCTGGGCGAAAACTGTGCGACTTTTTCACTCATAGCACTCCGCTTCAGCTCAAACTGTACGACTTCCTCGCAGGGCAGATCTCACGAGTCATGCGCTCACACTGCACGACCCAGTTCTCGGATGCGACCTGACTGCTCACACTGTACATCTGGTAGCGACACGTCGGCCCTAAAAATATGCTAAAAATAGCAGTTTTTGCACAACACGTCAGACTTTTTTGTCTTGTTTTGCCTGTTGTCCTTCGGGAGTGCTGCAGGAGGACACACAGGGGGTTTATGGGGGTTGGATGAGTAAAACGAAATAAAGAAAGTAAATTTGTGTTTTGTGATCAGTTTAGTTTGACATGAACACGACAAACACGCTTTCTTGACAATCTTTGTGAGTAAAAAAATGTGTAGAAACAAAAACGAACAACGTGTGTTATTAGGGAAATAACGGGCGAGCGGTGTTCATGCATGATTGCGCATGCGCCGTGAGCGGTTCTGATACTTTTTGGGTCGCAGCCGCTCGCTGCGCCGCTTCAACAGTGCGATACCCTCACGAGGGACGAGCAAAATATCTAACACGCCAGAAGTTTGTGCGAGATCACGATTGCTGATCGGTAGCTGGTCACGTGGTGTTAATCGCCTCTCGTAACCCCCTGTACACTACACGACGCTCGGTGCAAAACTCGCCCCAATCTTGTGGATTCTCTCACGAGTGGAAAATCGGCTCAAAAAAGTGAAAAAGTCGCACAGTGTACGCCCGGCTTTGTACATTCTCCCTCTCCTGATACTAACATTTTACTTTCTTTGACATTGAATGTGCTACTACTAGTTTACCCATTTAATTATAGATTCACTAAGAAAAAGATAATAAAGTTTATATATTACTAAATAGAATATTTACTTAGAAATCCCAATGTAGCCATAGAATTACTACTTGGCATATATGTTGTTTGTGTGTGCGTGCATGTGTGTGTGTGCATGCGTGCGTGTGTGTGTGTGTGTGTGCGTGTATGTGTGTGTGCTCTATCTTCTCGATCCCCAGTGAGTCGTGGCGGATGGCTGTTTATACTGAGCCAGGATCCTCTGGAGGTTTCTTCCTGTTAAAAGGGAGTTTTCCTCTCCACTGTCGCTAAATGCTTGCTTAGTATGAGGATTGCTGTAAAGACACTGACCCTAGTCAGTGACTCGATGTAATCTACTGGATTCCTTATATAGGAAACTTTTTACTTATTGGCTCAATGAACTTCCCTTTATTGGAATGTTTACTTTGTGACGTGCCTTGAGCCTTTCAGTTCACCGATTGTTAATTAAAAGCAAAGGAAGAAGATCAATGTGTTTTTTTTGTTGGCACCATGGCAGAGCCTGGAAGTGAAAGAAAAAGAGTAATGTCTTTGAAGGTGAAGCAAAGAGCTAAAAACAGAGTTGACATCAGCAGAACCTACACTAGTTTGATGGAGCTGAAAAAGGCTATGATGGTGACCTGGCTTTGTTGCTACTGGACTTCTAATTAAGGGTGGATCTTTTTAATTCATGGCTTATTTAGCATTAGTTTACTCATGTTAGCGTTAGCTCGTTGTTAGAGTTTGGGTTGTTTCTGATTACTGGACAACCCACTCTACCTCCTGAGCTGCTACTGCTGCCACCAACAGCGGCAAAGCTCTGAGGAAGGCTACAGTGATAGTCGAAATGTCAGCAAAACAAGGTAGAAATAACACTATTGCTTAAAGTGTTAAAAAAAAGAACCGTAATGTAGTTGGATGAAACACGCAGAAAGAACGTACAAAAGACATTTTCTTTAAATTGTTTTACAGCTGAAAAAGTAAGAAGCTTCCACCAAACTCAGCCTGTGGATCAAAGGCACAACTTTTTGCTCTAGAGCTAAAACTAATAGCTAACGAGAATATTTGTTTGTTGCTAACTCTCCATCCTAGCACCAAAGCACGAAGCTCGTTCTCTGCCTCAACTGTTAACGCTGCCACAAAGTGTGTCTGAATCTGAAGGCTTTTGAAAAAAGAACTGATCCACTGTGAAATTCAGGAGATCCAAGCAGCAACCCACTTTGGTCTTAACTTGATTCAGACTAGCCATTAGCATATCATTCTTGAAGGATGAGAACTCCATTTTTCTCCTAATTGAAACCATTCAGGATGTAACAGGTAAGATGGTGACTATTTAAAAGATCTGCATAGAAACAGACTACAAGGTGGCCTAAAATCCCTTTTAGGGGACTATTTGGGCCAATAACTGTGAATCATGTGCAGCTAGTGTGTAACTGCACGCAAAAGAACTGAAACTAAAACACAGAGAACAGTGATTGTGTGCTGTACCATTGTTACCTCAGAGTGAACCCTTTGAACATGAGAGTGCAGGTTCCCTTTCTGGGAGAAGGATGCAGGGCAGAACATGCAGAGGTGAGGTTTCTCTCCTGTGTGTTTCACCATGTGAGTCTGCAGCACCACCTTCTGGTTGAAGGCCTTGTTGCAGTGTGTGCACTTATAGGGTCTTTCACCTGAAGGGAAGAGAAAAGGTCAGTTTAAGCAGCAGCCGAGAATTTAATTCGTGTATATGGTGTAATGAGCTCAAAGTTGTACTTAAATAAATACATTTGCAAAAATGTAGTAAATGTTGCCATTTTTGATAGAAAATTCAACTACAAGAAAATTCTTCAGTGAGATTTTAAAAAGGCTTTGCTATACATGTGTTACAGCCAGACCAGCTCATTGGTGTGATGCAGCCTTCTGTCACCATAAAGACTTTCCTAAAGCTAGAACAGATGGGCTTCAGCTCTGTGAACACCAGAAACAGACGGCTTGTGTTTGTTTGTTTGTTTTATGTGTGTGGGTGTTTATCGTCACTGGAAGCAACTCCTGACCTCCGGAGCTTATAGGCTGATTAAGATTCAAAGCACAGCATCCTCCACCATTAGTCATGCAGCCAGCAAGCCAACAGAACCAATTAACACGTGGATGATGTGCAATCAACATGTGGATGAAAGCTACTGGCAACGCCACCCTCAACCCAAACAGCTGAACAATCTCAGAGCAACACAGCATCAAGAGTTTCAAAAGGCCCATCATCACTCCACACATGACAGAGGAGCCATGTGTCGTGGTACACCGTGCGGTTATGGAGGTGTTTTTTAATCGGGGAGGATTAGGAGTGAGCCCATATCAGACAGATGGGAGACTCGAGCTGTTGACGCCTAATATTGCCTAGATTTCTATTAATGAGACAGAAAATGTGTTCAAACTGTTGGAACTGCTGTTTGAGTCAACATCACTCAGAGGACACCTGCTCGGCTCCTACAGCCAGGTGTCAGCATCTAAACAACACAACTAACCCAGAGCACAGGTACGTCTCACTCCAACAGGCTTGGTCGGTCGGATCTGTCCATCAGGGAGAAAAAGGCTGCTGCTGTCAGCTCACCACAAACCCAGTGCATGCTAGGCAAAGAAGCTTTCCCATCAGACCTTTCTGTGTCACAATCACAGGCCAAATCTTTCTGTGACATCATAAAATGCTGGAAATTACAATAATATGTACTGTTGTAGTTAAAAAGTGTGTATTTTTATTATAAATGTCTAAAAAAAGTCACAAATAGTTTTTCTGTCTACAGTCGATCTGTAGCCGTCACCATGTTTGCTGAAGTCAATTAGACACTTAAGTGCGGCTGACTAATTTTTACACATTAAAACCCAGAGTTCAAGGCAAAACCAATTACATAACCCACTGTGTCCATGGCAACAATGACATTCTTGTCTCTTCAGTTATTAATGATCGGTCAGGACGGTAACAGTTAAACACAGTGTTTATCACTGTTACATGGAGGATAACTAAACAAGAGCAGTTTAATAAATGCATTAAGGCACCGTGATGGGGGCGGGGTAGACAAATTACCAACATTTCCTGCACCAATTCACTTGTTTTCTCTTTAGCTTTAGCCATCAGTTCCGTTGTCGCTAAGCTACAAACCCAGCACCCCAATGCATTTGTGGCTATATCTGGTGATTTTAATCATGCCTCGCTCTCTGCTACACTTCCAACATTTCAACTGTTTGTCAGCTGCTCCACCAGAGAAAACAAGACATTGGATTTGCGTTATGCAAATGTAAAGAATGCATACATGTCCAAAACAAGACGTCCTCTGGGACAATCAGATCACAATCTTGTTCTTCTCTGCTCAGAATACAAACCACTTGTTCAGAGGCAACCTGTGACAAGAAGAACTGTGAGAAAATGGTCACAGGACGCTGAAGAAGCCCTGCAGGGTTGTTTTGAGACCACAGATTGGATGACTCTCTGCCAAGGATATGAAGAGGACATCAATGCCATGACTGGATGTGTCACTGACTATATAAACTTCTGTGTGGACAACAGCATACCCACCAGAACAGTGAGATGCTTCGCTAATAACAAACCCTGGATCACCAGTGAACTGAAGAATCTGCTAAATGAGAAAAAAAGAGCCTTCATGGAGGGAGACAGGGAATTATTGAGGAGTATACTGAAGCAACTGAAGATCAAGATCCGAGACAGCAAGAAGGCATACAGGAAGAAGCTGGAGAACAAACTACAGAGGAACAATATCAGAGATGTCTGGTCAGGGATGAAGAAGATCACAGGCTTCAAGCAGAGAAAGGATTGCACAGATGGCAGCCTGGACACAGCCAATGAACTGATCAAGTTCTTCAATAGGTTCAGTTCAGGAACAATCCCAGCATCCTCCTTGCCTGTCCCCAGCCAATCAGACATCCCATCCTCCTCTGATCCAACATTTTCCTGTCACACGCCAGCTCTTTTTTCCTCTAAAGCAGTCATGGACTCTTCTGGTTCTATAAATCTGTCTTTAACCAAGTCAGGAGATGCTGCTGCCCCATTTACCTCCCCCTCCCACCTATCTGTCTCTAGAAGTCAGGTGAAGAGGCAGCTGGAGAGACTGAACAGGAACAAGGCTGCAGGTCCAGATGGTGTCAGTCCCAGAGTACTGAAGGCCTGTGCAGAGCAGCTCTGTGGGATTCTGCAGCACCTCTTCAACCTCAGCCTGGCCCAGGAGAAGGTTCCAGTCCTGTGGAAGACATCCTGTCTTGTTCCAGTTCCAAAGAAAACTCGCCCATCAGTCAATGACGGCTACAGACCAGTTGCCTTGACATCCCACATCATGAAGGTCCTGGAGAGACTCCTGTTGGTCCACCTGAATAAGCAAACTAGAACATATCAGGACCCGCTGCAGTTTGCTTATCGCCATGGAGTTGGAGTTGAAGATGCCATCATCCAGCTGCTTCAACCAATCCACTGTCATCTGGACAAAGCAGGCAGCACTATCAGGGTCATGTTCTTTGATTTCTCCAGTACATTTAACACAATCCAGCCTGATGTACTTTGCCAGAAACTCCAGAAGACACAGGTGGGGGCCTCAACTATCGCCTGGATTAAAGACTACCTGACAAACAGACCACAGTTTGTGAGGCTGGAGAACTGCACATCAAACCAGGCGATCAGTAACATTGGAGCACCACAGGGGACTGTACTCTCACCATTTCTTTTCACCCTGTACACCTCAGACTTCCAGTACAAATCAGAGACCTGTCATCTACAGAAATACTCAGATGACTCTGCAGTTGTCGGGTGTATCAGAGATGGACAGGAAGCTGAGTGCAGAGAGCTGGTGGAGCGCTTTGTGGCATGGTGTGGAAACAATCATCTGACCTTGAATGTGAACAAAACAAAGGAGATGATTTTGGACTTCAGAAGAAACAGGGTGGAGTCAAACACTGTTTCCATCATGGGAGAAGAAGTGGAGGTGGTTGAGGAATACAAACACCTTGGAGTTCACCTGGACAACAGACTGGACTGGAGAAAGAACAGCTAAGCCGTTTACAAGAAGGGACACAGCAGACTGCACTTCTTGAGGATGCTTAGGTCCTTCAATGTCTGTAGCAAGATTCTGCAGATCTTCTACAAGTCTGTTGTTGAGAGTGTAATCTCTTCAGCCATCGTCTGTTGGGGTAGTAGCATCAGAAGCAGGGACCTGAAAAGGCTCAACAGCCTAATAAAAAAGGCTGGTTCTGTTCTGGGGACGACTGTGGAACCACTGGAGGAGATAATGCAAGGAAGGATTCTCCAGAGAATCAAGAAAATTATGGACAACCCTGAGCATTCTCTTCACAAGACTGTCCGACAACGGAAGAGTGTCTTCAGTCAGAGGCTTCTTCAGTTTTGCTGCAACACTGACCGCTACTGGAGATCCTTCCTGCCAACAGCCATTGTAATATACAATAACTCTTTATTATTATTATTCTGAGCTACTACAGCAATCAATTTCCCTCTGGGATTAATAAAGTATTTTTGAATTGAATTGAATTTTACTAGAAGCACACTGGAGGTTTCCTGCTCACCTGTGTGTATCCGTATGTGTCTGATGAGTTGGCTGGGCTTTTTGAAAGCTTTCCCACAATGATGGCAGCCGTTGGTGAACCCGCTGCGGTCAATGTTTTTCTTGTAGTTTCTGGAACTGGCCGACAGCGTCCTAAGAAGGGAACAAGCACAGACGATGCTCACTGGTTTCTTTAAAAACGCATTTGCAGGAAAAAAGCAAAACAAAACAAGAAAACAGGCCTCTAGATTACTAAAGAGAAGGTTCTTCAGTAATATGTCAGCGAGACTTCTTTTTTATTTTACACAACTAACATTTTTGACAAAAATGTTATAAACATTAGTGACAGGACAAGTTAGAGCCACACCAACTGATTAAAGTTAAACCTTCAGCACCAATGATAACAGAACAGCTCACAATTGTTGCAGCACATCAAAAACGCTCCTTCGGTTTTGACTTCACATGCACTTATCAGGTTACTCTGTGTGTGTGTGTGTGTGTGTGTGTGTGTGTGTGTGTGTGTGTGTGTGTGTGTGTGTGTGTGTGTGTGTGTGTGTGTGTGTGTGTCAGAAGTTGCAGCTGACCTCATCCTGATGTGACTCTTGGTGTGCTCCTTGTATTCGGTGAACATCTTGAACTCCTTGCTGCAGCTTTTGCAGGTGTACGCCACCCTGACGCCCGACAGCTCCTTCTGGTGCTCGTCCAAGTGCAGCGAGAGCTGGCTTTGAAGAACAAACTCATCTCCACACACTGAGCAGATAAGGTTCTGTAGGAAACGAAACCAAGGAAAAATAAAACTTGGAGACAAAAAAAAAGGTTATAAGCGATGAACGAGTGTGACAGCTTCCTGCGAGGCTTACCTCCTCCTTTTTGTGAAGCATGATGTGGGATTTGAGGCCTGCGATGCGGGAAAACCTTTTATTGCAAACAGGACAGGTGAAGTCGCACATGGTGTGTGTTGATTTGTGCAGGGTGAGGTTGAACTCCACATTAAAAGTCTGCGAGCACTGGTCACAGCGATAAGGCTACAATGAGGAGAAAAGGTAAATTGTAGCGTGAACGACACACACACACACGTGGTGAGAAGCCTCTAAAACTCACACTGAATCAAATATTATCAGTAATTCTCATGAGGCAGAAATGCTTCCAGAATTCATTTCCACTTCTGTGAGAGGAGCCGAGTTGAGTCAATTTCAGAAAGCTTTGTGAATCTGGAGAAGGCTGAGAGCAAAGTGGACTCTGGTGACTGGCGGACCCCGAGGCTAGCTCTCTACAGCTTGGAGGCAATTCACATAAAAGCCCTTGAAATTGAAATGGTCCAAAAGTACAGGTTCAGTGAAGGGAGGTGGGACCAATCACTGCATTTCTGCATGAAAAAATAGAAACCCTGATAGTAAAGAGAGCTTTTCTCCTCAATCATTCTAATTATAACACTTATCTCTTAACTTCTGTGATGAAACAGGTGTGATGTTTGAGAATGAGAGGGAAAAAGAAAAAAAAATAATTCAAGCAGAAAAGAAAAATATGGCCCTGCTGAGGCTGCTAATAGGTGATAAAAAGCATAAATACTTAGAACAGACCAATAAACCGATTAGCCAATTAAACACAGAAACCTGCGATAGATCCGCATCAGCTCATTGCTTCATAAGAGTAAATATCTGCACTAGAGTCTTCAGAGAAGCCATTACTGTCTGCTCATCACCACAGAGGCACACAGAACTTCAACTTTTTATTTAGGTTTTGTTATTTCATAGAAATAATAATGGAACAGGCGTACTTGGCAAGAAATACAATAATAAATAAATACATTTATGGCAATAAGGTTTAGTTTACAATGAACTAAGCTAAACTAATAGAATGTAAACTTGGAAGCTCAGCAGCTACGGTGAGGAAGGCACCACATTCCTAACTTCCAACCAGGATTTTAAGAAGAGAGCAGTGTTCCTCCCTGAGACCAGGGAAACTGAACTTGCAGAAAAGAGTCAGACTTCCTCTCCACAATTGAGTCACCTGTTCAGCAGCTCACCAGGCTCTGCAGAAGCCTGTTAATCACCTGCTGATTGAAATCAGGTGTGTTGGAGCAGAGAAAACAGTAAAACATGCTGGATGCCGGCCCTCAGGGCAGGGAGTTGGGGATCGCTGCCCTAGCTTTTGGAACAAACTTCACCTCTAGATTAAGCAGTCTTTATCTGTTTTTGTTGTTTTATGGTTATTATCTTTCTGTTTTTTAATGATTTGAATCTTTTTATTGTAACGTTATTGCGTCGTTTGTTTTATCTGCCTCTTCACCACGTACAGCACCTAGGGCCTTCTTGGCTGGTGGCTGGAAGGCACTTTATAAAAAAAAGATTGACTCATTGACTGATTGCACAGTTTACACGTCCTCAGTTTAGAGCATCTAAAACCTATGAAAGAATATGCGACCCAAAAGTGACAATGTGTCTGTTGACATATTTCCCAGAGTTAGAAAAATGGGGGGAAACTATTTAACCAGCCCAATAATTCCCCTGACCCTGCTGTCCTCCTTTCACTTTGGCAATAAAACACAGTAGGTGAATGGATCCAACTAGCGTTGTGTGTAAAAGAGTTCTTAAAATCACTCAGTAGTGATCCCAATTCTGCTCAGTAACCTAAATAATCAGAATGACTGCAAGTGAAAATAATTAGTAACATAAAAGAATCACAGGGGCCATGCTAGACTCGGGACTACTTTATGACAAAGCACAGCTAAGCCTCCGCTGAAAGGTACAAGGCAGCCCCAAAGACACCAGCTTTTGCAAACACAGATGCACACGTTGTTAGCAAACCGACATAAAATACACACGCATTGTTGCCATTGTGTGTGAGTGTGTACGTGAGTGAGATGTGGAATTAATTTCTGCACAAAGTCGCTGCGCCGAGCTCAACCCATGCAGCCTTGTGCAGGAACGGAGACCTGACTGGCTGATTCTGATCAACACAAAGCAGAGCTTTACCAAATACCTGGACCTGCTCCACCTGTCTGGTGATCCAAAATAACTTGCTTTGAATGACCCCTGATCCCCCTGCAGACCATAAGGAACTTGGAAAACTCTTCAGACAGCTCTGCAGATAGCCTACAATGTTACTCCTGCATGATTAATAAACAAGGAAAGCAGATTCAAGGAGAAGGCACTGCTCAGTATGTGCGTGTTTGTGCGTGTACTCACAAAACGGAGAAATGACTTCCTCCCAGACATGCAGAAGTTTAATTAATCAGCAGTGGCGGTTGGTGAATTTATTTTTGGGTGGGGCGCAGTCATGCCATCTGTGGATGGTAGATGCACTAACCACATATCACCACTAGGGGGTGCCAAATCACCATTATTATGAAATAATTAATGTTTTCTAGTCAACACTGACAGTAAATAAAAGGGCAGAAAAAAAGCTAAATAAAGGAAAAACACAGCAATGCAACATGATCTCTTGAAGCAGCCGTTTAAATTAAAGCCCCCTCCTATTCGTTGTATTTGAGACGGGGATCCAGTGCACATGCACGAGTTAGCATAGGTCGGTGGTAGAGACTGCTTCGCCAAAAACGAACAGGAAATATGTTGCAAGACAATTTGGTCACGGTAAAAGTGTGAGAGAACATTTTTAATCTACACTTCAATGCAGATTATACACAGCATTTATCATCTGTATGATTATAGATCGTTTAGTTTAATTTTCATGTTTTTTTTATATTTTGTGATTCCTATCTTCTTCCTCTTCCTGTAAAGCCAGATTTAAACTCCTCCATCTGCGTCAGGATGGATGCAAGCAACGCCATTATGCGTCCTTTCAAGGGCTCTCCACTCAGCAGGCTCACAAGGATGGACAGAGTCGAGCTCTCGTTTCTAAACATCCATCTGTCAAGATGGAGAACACAAGCTAATGATTGGTCAGGACACCGCTGTCGTCTACAGCGCCGCCATTGCACCCTCAAAAACATAAAGAGAGCTGAGGACATCTAGCGGCAGACATGGGGAAGCTTGAAGAGTCCCTCGTGGAAAAAGTCTAAAAATATAAACTACTTACTCCCCCATGACAGGGGGAGGAAATGGTTTTCAGAAAGCGTTTTTTTTGTGAACAGAAATGATGGGAAACATGGGTTTAGAGGTGGCGAGTGCATGAAGAGGTGGAGGAGAATGAGTGACAAATTTGTCCGTGTTAAAAAGTCTCAAATACAAAAAAAAACACAATACAAACACACTATCTTGGACCGGATACATGACAGGACACCACAGAACGGCGCTACGCCCGCTGTTGTCCTGGCGGGGTATTGCTTTACAACACTCCCCAGGAGACGTCTCTCCCTGATGGAGCTGAAGGAGAAGTATTGACCCTTTGCATTGACGTCACCTAATCACGTGGGTCCACCATGCTGGACGTAAACAGTGAGCGACACGATTACTAAACAAAGAGAAAAGTAGAGCCTGAAATTGTTTTTGCGATCAAAACCAAAACAAAACTCCAGCATTCCTTCAACTAGTTCATGCCCAGTTCAGTTGTCAGAAGAAGTAGCGCATCTAGCGGGGGCTCATAGAGAGCGGTATGTTAACTAGCTTACCAACGTTAGCTTACGTTCTCTCTGCAGCTGTTCACCGATGTAAACATGTTGCTGACTTTGCCTAAATTCACCCAGCTGGATTTATAACATTATGTTATAAACAGCGTTTCACTTTACACCAAAGCTGATTGTTAAAAAGTCCGGATCCCTACCAGCTTCGGCTGCTGGTGGTGTTACCGGGTTCAGCTGCTGCTCTCACACCGGAATGAGAAGATCTCTAAACGGCGACGCTCAAATAAATAAAAAACGTAATTTTAACACACGTAATCATACATCGGAGCTTTAATATTGTTAATAATTATCTCGCTTTACACTACAGTGGACGGCGCGCATCCTCCGTGGTGAAATATCCATCCATCAGGATTATCAATAACTAGTATAAACACATCACATTTATCCCTGTCTTCCTCGTGAAATAAATGAACGTCAACCTTACCCGGTAAAAACATGTTCACTGCAAATCTGAGGGCTGCTAGTTCACTTGACGCGGTAGTTCATCTCCGTCCTCAGTCTTCATCAGTTATTAAAAAACTAAACGAGTTGAGTTTATAACCTTGTCTGTTAGTGCAGCCAACCACGCAGCAAACTAAAACCATTTTACTGTCAAATCAACTAAATAAAAGTGTTAAAAGGCTACAAACTGGCTTGTTTTGACTAGCTTCACTGGAGTTTCTACGGGTGTAAACGGTCTTTTTGCCATCCATCATGGCGAAGGGGGCGGTCACATGAGTGGCGTGACGTCACGTGCAAAGGGTCAATAAATTGGGCATAAGACACACCCCCTATGGACGAACCGCCACTGCTAATCGTGTTTTAAAAATAAAACTGAAGTATTGCTGTTTAAGACATTTATAAGAAATCTTCAAATAAAAGAGAAAACTTGAAGCTGCATTATTTGCACATGCGTGCGCGCAGGATTTAATGCTAGTTCTTTAACAACGTGTGCATCTGCGCTTACAGAAGCTGCGTCTTTGGGCTGCCAGCGGAGGCTTACAGCTGTGCTTTGTCATAAAGTAGTGCCAAGTTTAAAATGGCACACAACGCTAGTTGGATCCATTCACTTACTGTGTTTTATGCTAAGCTAAAGCGAAAGGAGCATGGCCAGGTCAGGAGAATGACTGGACTGGTTACAAAATGTTTTTTCCACACTTATCTAATGCTCTATTAACGCTGGCGAATAAGTCAACAGACACAATTTTAATTTTGGGTGGAATATCCCTTTAAGGATCACTTCGTCCAACATGTCAGCTGGAAATCACTGTGGTTTATATCTGTTAATCCCTGACTGGTGTGTTTTACCTCTGTCAATATGGTTGTTATGGTTACGCAGCACCTCCAACACCTCCATGAGTATGTTGATCAGTTTCACCTACATCTCTTAAACTTTGACCTCCTTTATTTTATTCATACCTATGATAAAGGAAGAGGAATCCTTCTTGAGAAGATGATTAATTTAACACCATGTAAAGGTTAAATCAAGGATCTCCACTGAATACGGGAAACAAGATTAAATATGGCTGCTACGGAGGAGCTGCAACTCTCAAGTACGTCTAGATGAGCTCTCAACTTTAACAGCTCGGATTATTGTTGAGGCCGCTGTTCATTAATTTAAAACTTTGCTAAAGAGGAGTCATTTCATGAATCTTGCAGAAAAGCGAATGCATAAGCTGAGAAAGGCGTGTTAAAACCATCACTTACTAAATAAATTTAAAGTACAGAACAAAACCACCTCTTCAGCTGATCTTTTACTTAACAGCAACCAGAGCTGACATTTCTGTGATTTACCCACCTTATCGTTGAGCTCATGCTCACGGAGATGCTTCTGCAACCTGCTCTCTTTGGTGAAGATCTGGGAGCATATCCTGCACTTCTTTTCCTTTGCTCCATCACTGAAATCTAAAGATGCAGGAGAAATCTGCATCTTAATGTGACCTGGGAGTTTTCTCTGGATTAGCATTTTAGAAGAAATGATTAAACAACTGTTTGGATGTTAGTTTAACAATCTTTTTATCTGTTTTCTAAACGTGCATCTTCTTTCTTATCAGACCGTGAGGTCTGCAATCTGCAGCTCTAGGGCCACATGCAACTCTCTGTAGCTTTGGCTTAATTAAATACATCTCTGTTACAGAATGATACTATTACAGATATCAATCAGTTTGCAATTTAATTAATTCAAAGTCAGTCTCATACAGAACAAAATAAAAAAAACATGTGTTCAATAGAAACCTTACAAAGGTTTGTAGAAATCTTTTAAGAAAAAAAAACATTAAAAATCTAACAAACACATTTTATGTTTAATCTGCTAATTTATTGGAATGCAAATATACGCATTACTTTTAAGTGGTTATTGTTGTTCAACAAATATAAAAAGCACTTGTGCCTTTAAACTTGATCAAAGGGCAATTTAAGGTCTTTTTCTTTCTTCATTTTTATTTCATAATGTAACGTATTATATTACTTTCTGTAATAATGAAGCTTCAAACGGGGTTTGCGACTCTACACATTTTATTTAGGCCCGAGCAGCGAAAGCGCTGCGAAGGCCTCTTGTTTTTGCTCTGATTATTATTAGGCCCGAGCAGCGAAAGCGCTGCGAAGGCCTCTTGTTTTTGCTCTGATTATTAGGCCCGAGCAGCGAAAGCGCTGCGAAGGCCTCTTGTTTTTGCTCTGATTATTAGGCCCGAGCAGCGAAAGCGCTGCGAAGGCCTCTTGTTTTTGCTCTGATTATTAGGCCCGAGCAGCGAAAGCGCTGCGAAGGCCTCTTGTTTTTGCTCCGTTTATTATTATTTTTTTTATTTATTATTCCGGTGCCGCTTTGAATGGCTTTTTGGGGATCTTAACATACCCCAAAACTCACAATATTTTGCACACTTGTCAGGCCTGGTGAAAAATTTGATATTTTAAAGGTCCCAAAAAAATCGCAAAGAAAATGGCTGAACAGCGCCCCCTAGAAAATGAAAAAAAACCCTCTCCATAAAGCTTAGTTTATCGTACCGTTATGAAATTTGGTACACTTATAGTACTCAACAGTCCGCACAGAAAAGTCTCTTACAAGCATGGTCAATATCAAACAGGAAGTCGGCCATTTTGGGTTGAAATGGCGATTTTTTGCAGTTTTGGCCGTTTTTAGGGTCCGTTTCTGATTGGATTGCTCGATCATTTTTTGCACGATCATCTCAAAAATTGTGTAAAATTGCTCAGAAGAGATGGGCGAACAAAATGAGACAATAAAATTGACTTTTCGTAAATACTGAAGGGGCGGGGCCAGAACTCGAAGTTTGACTACTCGCCAAAAATTTTTAAATTGCTATAACTTCATAACTGAATGGAATAGAGTTACCAAACTTTCTGTGGTCATTCGTCATCACCTCACAAAGTAAATTGAATGGTCGCATGATGACATCACACAAGCCCCGCCCCCTCAGGACCAAAAAGGTTAAGTTTTACTGTGAAAGGTCCCAAATTGCCCCATTTAACTAAATCACCACAAATTTGTAGCTGGTAACTCAAGACAAGTGGGGGTTGCTTGGCGTCACATTATGTGAGTTTTCGGCAGAGGGCGGGGCTGTGGCGGCGCGGCGAAGTCAGGCGTACCGCCGTGGCCTTACGTTTGCCTCCCATTTCGTCATTTCTAAAGATATCATCACGAAACTTCTTGTGAGTGATCCTAGTCTGGCCCCCCAAAAGATCTGATGTGAACATCCGGTGGGCGTGGCCTATTTTCTGAAATAGCGCCCCCTAGGACCATTAAAACTGACAGCCCCAAGCCATGCTTTGACTGAGGATTACGAAATTTGGTACACTAATGTGGTGTCTCAGGACCTACACAAAAGTCTCTTGGACCCAAGTGCAAAGTCGCACAGGAAGTCGGCCATTTTGGTCCAAGTACGCGATTTACTGGTTTTCGCACACCTTGTTTGGAGAGTGATGCTCCGTCGCCCTTTTCACCAATCTCCTTGAAACGTCTGCTATATACTCTTAAGACAAAGAGGAAAAAATTCAACCGTCGGATTTTTCAAAAGTTTAACGGTGTGGGCGTGGCTAAGCCTCAAACTTTGACCTGTCGCCACGCCACTCATTTTTTCACAGCTCCCTACTGGACTCCTTTTACCCAATCAGCAGGAATCTCTGGCAAACAGCAGTAGACAACTTGAGGTCACTTGGTATCCAGTACTGGCAGGTTTCAAAAAAAGGCGGGGCTTCAGGAGCATGGCGAAAATCGCCATCACGCCATGGAAGTATGTTTGCCTCTCATTTCTTCAGTTATCGTGATATCGCTACGAAACTTCTGGTGCGTGATCCTAGTCTGACCCCCAAGCGACATAGACATCTGAAATTTGTGGGCGTGGCCTATTTTCTTAAATAGCGCCCCCTAGGACCATTTAAACTAATAGCCCCAAGCTATGCTTTGACTGAGGATTACGAAATTTGGTACACTAATGTGGTGTCTCAGGACCTACAAAAAAGTCTCTTGGAGCCAAGCGCAAAGTCGCACAGGAAGTCGGCCATTTTGGTCCAAGTACGCAATTTAGTGGTTTTCGCACACGTTGTTTGGAGAGTGATGCTCCGTTGCTCTTTTCACCAATCACTTTCACACTTCTGCTATATACTCTTAAGACGAAGGGGAAAAAATTCAACCGTCGGATTTTTCAAAAGTTGAAAGGTGTGGGCGTGGCTAAGCCTCAAACTTTGACCTTTCGCCACGCCACTCTTTTTTTCACATCTCCCTATTGGACTCCTTTTACCCAATCAATAGGAATCTCTGGCAAATAGCAGTAGACAAGTTGAGGTCACTTGGTATCCAGTACAGTTAGGTTTCGAAAAAAGGCGGGGCTTTGGGAGCATGGCGAAAATCGCCATCACGCCAAGGAAATACGTTTGCCTCTCATTTCTTCAGTTTTCGTGATATCGCTACTAAACTTCTGGTGAGTGATCCTAGTCTGAGCCCCAAGAGAAATAGACAGCTGAAGTTTGTGGGCGTGGCCTATTTTCTTAAATAGCGCCCCCTAGAGCCATTAAAACTGTCAGCCCCAAGCCATGCTTTGACTGAGGATTACGAAATTTGGTACACTAATGTGGTGTCTCAGGACCTACAAAAAAGTCTCTTGGAGCCAAGAACAAAGTCGCACAGGAAGTCGGCCATTTTGGTCCAAGTACTCGAATTAGTGGTTTTCGCACACGTTGTTTGGAGAGTGATGCTCCGTCGCCCTTTTCACCAATCGCCTTCAAACATCTGCCATGTACTCTTAAGACGTAGGGGAAAAAATTCAACCGTCGGATTTTTCAAAAGTTGAAAGGTGTGGGCGTGGCTAAGCCTCAAACTTTGACCTTTCGCCACGCCACTCTTTTTTTCCACAGCTTCCTATTGGACTCCTTTTACCCAATCACCCATAATCTCTGGCAAATAGCAGTAGACAACTTGAGGTCACTTGGTATCCAGTACTGGCAGGTTTCAAAAAAAGGCGGGGCTTCAGGAGCATGGCGAAAATCGCCATCACGCCATGGAAGTATGTTTGCCTCTCATTTCTTCAGTTATCGTGATATCGCTACGAAACTTCTGGTGCGTGATCCTAGTTTGACCCCCAAGCGACATAGACATCTGAAATTTGTGGGCGTGGCCTATTTTCTTAAATAGCGCCCCCTAGGACCATTTAAACTAATAGCCCCAAGCTATGCTTTGACTGAGGATTACGAAATTTGGTACACTAATGTGGTGTCTCAGGACCTACAAAAAAGTCTCTTGGAGCCAAGCGCAAAGTCGCACAGGAAGTCGGCCATTTTGGTCCAAGTACGCAATTTAGTGGTTTTCGCACACGTTGTTTGGAGAGTGATGCTCCGTTGCTCTTTTCACCAATCACTTTCACACTTCTGCTATATACTCTTAAGACGAAGGGGAAAAAATTCAACCGTCGGATTTTTCAAAAGTTGAAAGGTGTGGGCGTGGCTAAGCCTCAAACTTTGACCTTTCGCCATTACTTTACTTGACTTAATAACTCCCATGTGCATGATCAGATCTTTTTCGAACTTTGTCTGTGTGATCATTGACCATATCTGTAAACAATGACAATGTGGACAGCTGACATCACCTAAGCCCCGCCCCCTGACTACAGGAAGCCTATTGTTTTATGGTGAACTGCCCATATTTGTCCCCTCTAATTTAGTCAACATGAAACAAAGGTAATGCACTGTCTTCATGATGCTGTATTGACCATTCAGATCTGATAGCTTTCCAGAAAGGGAGGGGCTTTGATGCCATGGCAAATTCTGGCGTAACGCCGTAATCCTAATATTCAATTTAATGGTGAGCTCAGAGGGGATGCTGAGTCAGGGTGAGGTGCGGACTAGGAGGCCATTCGCGGTTTCTGGTGTCGGGGTGGTTGACGTTTCTGTTCTGTCAGACGTGCACTGGTGCCCCGGGCTGCCGTCCAGACCGGAGCGGCGCGGAGCTGCGAGGGCCGAACGACGCTGCTTGCAGCTTTAATTATTATTATTATTTATTATTCCGTGCGCGAAATGAATGGCTTTTTGGGGACCTTAACATACCCCAAAACTCACAATATTTTGCACAATTGTCAGGCCTGGTGAAAAATTTGATATTTTAAAGGTCCCAAAAAAATCGCAAAGAAAATGGCTGAACAGCGCCCCCTACAAAGTGAAAAAAACCCCTCTCCATAAAGCTTAGTTTATCGTACAGTTATGAAATTTGGTACACTTGTAGTACTCAACAGTCCGCACAGAAAAGTCTCTTGCAAGCATGGTCAATATCAAACAGGAAGTCGGCCATTTTGGGATGAAATTGCGATTTTTGGCCGTTTTTGCCGTTTTTAGGGTCAGTCTCTGATTGGATTGCTCGATCAATTTTCGCACGATCGTCTCAAAAATGGTATAAAATTGCTCAG